TGTCCGAGGGAGCTCACCGAGAGCACGGCGAGGAACACGCAGATGCATAGCCCGCTGTACATTGCTGGGGAGAAAAGGGACAGGGGGCTGTTACATGATCAGATTGACTACGTTTTGTGCAGCCCCTAACCCCATCTTCCTTTGGGGATGGTGGCTTCTGAGCAAACTAGGCTCGTGTTGGGTCTTTTTTAATGTGTGTACCTGCAGGATCTGTCTTAAGTTGGAAAACATACATGTGAATAGCTAAATATCCTTGCTAAAGAGGAAGGTACCGGTAATTAATTTTGTTTCTTCGATCCTAGTATGTGCTGTATCTCCCTGATCTACTCGATTCTTATTTGGGTTTTTTTTTTTTTTTTTTTTTTTTTTTTTTTTTTTTTTTTTTTTGGAAGATGTATTTCATAAAAACTTAATGGACTTGAATCCATCTCTGTGAAAAAACTCGTGATTCAAATATTTCAGTATTTTGCTATTGCATTAAAACCTTGCTATTATTATAGATACTCAGTTTTGACAAGTTCTATGAAGAGCCTTTATTCTACCAGTCTTCATTGATTTGAACTTTAGTGTTCAAGAGGTTTCATCCTATCATACACAAAAAGAAGAAAACCAAAATCTTGCTGCAGTGAAAGAAAAACCAAAATCTAATACTCTTGCCTCAGAACACTTGGTCTAATAGCTGGAGGGGTAAAAGCTGTATAGTTAAAAGCTGTAAGAAATAAAGTGCAACTTAATAATCTTCTTCATATTAAACAGAGAATTTAGATTTCTACTGCTTTCTTGCTAAGCAGTGTACTAAGCAAAACAATGTTGGTTTTCTAAATAATTTTATCACATAAGCTGAAATGGTATTTTTTTCCTGGAAACAGTGAAATTGCTCTCAATTCTTAGAAGAAACAAACTACCTAGTACTTCATGCTATGGGGTAATTTTCACTTATAAATACACATGGATTATCTCAGCTGCATGAAATTTTTTTGAACTGCTTCAGTTCTCTAACCGTACACTTAATAAAAGCCTTTAAATTTTAAAAAGGGATAAAATTAAGTTTATTTAGCCAACACATACTCTAGTCAAAATAATTCACGGTATATAAACCACGGGGGGTTTAAAATATTCTCAGGAGATGAGTGAAGAAAGTTGAAATGTCAAAATGTCACTCCAGTGTGGTTATTAGTGATGTACCCGTCTAGGTTTGGGTACTCGGAGACTGATGGTGCATTGCACCTTTCAGCTGTCCCGAGTCCTGTATTTTTTACACACATACATGTATATATCACACACACACACACACACACACACACACACACACACACACATATCTAAGTACTCATGTCTTTGCTGTGGTTTCCAAATCCCACGTCTCACCACAGCTGGCCGGTTCCCCTCCCAGCTGCCCAGCGGTGGGAAGCCCTGCGCGCCGCTCCCCGCACCCCGCGCTGGGGTCCACCCGGCTGCCCGCGCTCGTCGGGAGCGGCCGGAATTCTTCCCCGCCGGGAAGCGTTTCCTCCGGCACAGAGCGGGATGCCCGCCGAGCCGCCGCACAGGTAAGCTCCAGGCACCCCCATTTCCTTTGCCTGTCCGCCCTCAGCAGTGGCGCCGTCAGAAGAGGCGCTCCCTACCTTTCCGCTGCGCTTTTCCAGGGTCCCTCTCGAGTCGGGAGCAGTGAGTCCCGAGTGTGCCCAAGCAGGGAAGTCGGGGGAGACTCAGCCTCGGCCGCTTAAATAGCGGCGGGCACCGAGGCGGTGTTTACACATTTCTGACGCAGCCGGGGCCCCCGCCCGCTTCAGCCCCCCGCTGCCGCCCCTCCCCGCCCCGGGGACCGGCACCGGGGGTGTGTGCGCTCCGCGGGGGGAGCGGGGCTCCTTCCCCGCCGCGGTGCGCGGGGTGCGCAGGAGCGCGGCTCCGCGGGGCTGGCGCTGCCCCGCGGGCCGGCCCCGACGGCCGCTCCCGGCCCTCCCCGAGGGAAGCGCCTTGCTGCCTTGCAGCTGGGCAATCAAAATGCTCCTGACCGGGGTATGCCCACACCTCCGTCCCCTGCCGGAGGCTCCAGGTGGGGCTCATGCCCTCAGCACCGGCAGCTCCGGCAGTCGGGAGCCGCCCGGAGGCGGGGGAGGCTCGCCCTGGCCGCGCTTACCGGCGCTGGCAGGTGCGGGGTCTGGGGCATTGGGTTCCATTCTCTGAGGCCTCCGGTGACCTGAGCCCTCGGTGACAAATGCCTCCATCCTCCCCTTCCTCTCCTAAACATCTGCTCGGGAAGACGGGACACTCATTTTATTTAAAAAGCAAAGCATAAAGCCATGGGCGATCCCCGCAAAAGACGTGGATGGAGATGCCTTCGGCGTGGGCTCTCCCTCGCTGACCACAGAACTACCAGAGTCTCCTCCGGCCGCTGCAGGGAACACTGTCCCTTCCCGCGACCTCGGCCGGGCCGGTGCTGCCCCGAGGCGATGCTCGCCAGGTGTGTCCGCAGCAGCCTCGGACACTGTGCCGCCCTCCCGCCTCCTGCTTTTCGGGGATGGAGGAAGCGCCCTCGAGCTCGGGCTGCCCGGGCTGCCACGCCGAGGCCGCAGAGGGACGGGCAGCGCCGGCTGGGGCAGCCGTGCGGTAACCCCGAAACTCTCCGCAGCTCAGCCCCCGGGAGCAGCCGCTCCTCGGAGCCAGCTCTGGGCTCAGGCGTCATTCCGCCGAATCTGTGCCTTAGAGTTTACGGTTTGGAGGCAAGCGAGTGGGTGGGCTGCTTTTCCCTCTGCAGGAAGGGAGCTGGGCGGCCCCGAGACACCGAGGCTCCCCGGGGAGCCGCCTGTGCTGTGCGGACGGTGCGGGGGTGCGGAGCGCCGGCCGGGCCGTGCCCAAGCGGCGGCTGAGAGGGCTCCAATCCGCCAAGGCAGGGCACGGGGGGCGTGTGTGCTCTTAACCTCTTAACCCAGGGCTCCTGGGGGAAAAGTGCGCTGCTTCCCGTCCTTCCCGCAGCGCCGGTCCCGCCTCACGCCGTCCCGCGCACCCCCCGCGCCCTTCCCGCCGTGGCCCGCAGAGGGCGCCGCGGCCCCGCGCACCCCGGGGAATCCGGCGGCGCGAGGGACGGAGATCCAGGGAAAAGTCACGAGATCCCGCGGCAGGGCGGTGCCGTGTGCCGTGCGAGCGGGGAAAAGCCGACCTGCTGCCGCCTCCTCAGCGCGGGGAGCCCTGGCTGCCGATGCCCGGCCGCGCCCGAGCTGAGGCGCCGGTGATGATGGAGCGGACGGCTGGGAGAGGGATGCCGCGGCTCCCGTGTCCCGTCACCCTGGTGGTGCGAGGCTGGGAGGTGGCGGAGATGGCGATGGACAAGCTCTCTCACCGCCTTCCAGCTGCTGACACGGTGTTGCCGAGCGGGATGCGGCACCTGAGCTGCGGGCTGCCGTTCATCTCTCACACTGGCGCTGGCTTCGGGCAGCGTCATCATCCCGCAGTGCTTTTAAAAAACAAAATCAAAACCTCCTTTGAAAAGGGGAAAGTTAGTCGAAGCAGATTGCTAGGGAAAGTAACAGCCCTGAAATTATTTCAGCAGTACCTGTCCAATGGCTCTGTCTGTCTCTGGAAAAAAATCTCGGTAACATTCCAGATAATTCAATTTCACTACTTTGGCTCAATGGGAAAGATACTCACTGCTATTAGACAATTAAATAGTCGACTCTGAATTGAACTGTAGGTGTCTGGGAACCAGAGTATCACAGTCTTTCTGGGAAGGTAAAATAACAATTCTGGTAGAGTCACATCAAGCCCTTGTGAAACCCACTGTAGATAATGAGCTCCCAAGGGACCAGCTCAAAGCTTAACAGATGAGAAAGAGAGAGCGCTTGCTAATATACACTCATGAATAATTCACATCAGACAGATATAAATGCAGGCATTTAAGTCTGACATATTAGCCTGGTTGAACAAATACACACTACATTTACATTGAGCTTATTTGGAATCTCAGTTCACTTATAAATGTATCTGGGATTGGACAAATGGAGTGTGTATGAGTGTGCATATGTGTGACAACCAAACTCCCTAGCTGTGCCCATGAACAGACAGAAAGGCAATGCCATATGAAATAGAATAAAGGAAACAGGAATAATGTCATTATTATTAAAGTCAGCAATGCTGCACGATCTATAGCCTGGCTAATTGACTTTTGAACACTGGATTTTCCTAACTGAATTCTTTAATACCTGTATTACAGGTACCTGTATGTACAGTCCTTGGTGATTATTTTCTGACTTATTTTCTCTTCAGTGAAAGTTTGAAGTTGTAGGAAAGTTTCAGTCCTTGGTAAATATATGTTAATTAATGGCATTTTAGAATTGTTTTGAGCAGACATAGAAGACCAGAAAGCCTGTTTGGCATGAGCAAATATGACAGCAGGACTCTGAGGTGAGTTGCCTGCAGAAACTCAGACTATGTATTATGTTACTTATTGATGTGGTACAAAAGGTAGGAATTGGGATTTAATTTGCAGTGACCTCTAGGTTCCAGGTCCAGTGTTTTTGTCAGGTGCTGGGCCTAGACGTGCACCATGGATTGGAGAGTGTCAGCCACAGGAGGGCCTTGTGGCACTATCACAGGTGGGGTGAGACAGAGGCTGCTCTAACACAAGGCTTCAGCCTTAGAGCACCAGGAAGGAAAGTGTTTTGACTGCAGCAGAGCTTGAGTGATATTGTAAGAACCCAAGTATATATGCAAAACAAATTTAAACCTAAAGTGAACCCTGCAATGCAGTAAATGCTAATATAGGTACATCCCTGGGGAGGAGCTGAAAGATGCAATCGTTTAGATACTGCAGGCTTTTAAAGATTTGTCTTCTGGCAAGAGTCTGTTAAAGGATATGAGTTTCTCTAACCTTTCCTCCTGACAATCAAGACACCTCTATCCTCAATTGCTTTCTCTATTTATCTGCCAAAGGTTTTCTCGTGTTTAGCTGAGGAGGCAAAAGAGTGTGTATGGTTAAGTATTCATTTTGTGCTGTGCCAGCACAAAGCTGGGAGCTTTGGAGCAAGAAGGCAGCATGGGAACAGTGGGATGGAGAGATTTCTTTATGTCTGTCCTGCAATGGGAATGGCTGGCACCAATAGTTGGAGCATCAGCCACGGTGCTCATGTCCCTGTCTCTCTGCTGAGAGCTGGAGCATAGCCTGCCTGTGAGTGTTGGAGTGGCAGCAAGCTTGGAGATGCACCTTGGAGATATCCTGTGGCACCAGGGGGCTTCATGTCCAGGTGCATGACATGCACGAGAAATACCTTCTTTTTCTTTTAAGTATTAGATTTTTTTCTGATTATCACTATGCAGGGTTTTTTTACTTCCATCTGGACCCTGACACTTATAGGTAATATTCTGTTCTATATTTAGTCAAATTAATGTGGGTTTTTGTTTGGTTTTGGGTTTTGTTGGGTGTTTGTTTGTTTTAATGTGAAGATGATGGAGTGTCACTCTGGAGGATTACAGTGAAGTGGGAATAATTGGCAGAGGTTAGCAGGGAAGGGAATGGAATGGTTTTCTGGAATTACCAGGTGAATTGGTGAACAGATTATTAGGACCAACTGCATTGTAGATGTAAAGTAGAGAATATATTTTAAGACAGCACATTGTTCTGCTGTATTTTAACATTGATTCAGACAATAAATTTTTGGTATTTTGCTTTTCCCAAATATTTAAAATTTTAATTCAGTAATTTCTATGTAAATGCTTTCATTGTAGTCTCTTTTCTTCCACTTGAGAGGAATGTAAACTCTGCTTAGAGCCAACCCAAAAACTAAGTGAGAAATTTTGGTTTTGGGTAAGTGACCAGAAGTGAGGGATCTGGGTCCTCTGCCTGAAGAATTCTGACCTCCTTTCACAGAGCAGTGATCAAACTAATATATTAGTCCCTGAATAATATACCTAAAGAAGGGCCCCATAGAAACAGATCAGCAGAGCGGTGCTGAGGATGTTTGAACACTCACAGACTGTTCTGCAATGGAAACAAAAGAATATAACGTGGGAATAATCATAGTGAAATAAACTGGCTTGGATTGGAAGGGAGCTTGAAGACCATCTTGTTCCAACCCCCCTGCCACAGGAAAGGACATCTCCCATTAGATCAGGTTGGTCAGAGCCCCTCAGCCTGGCCTTGAACACCTTCAGAAGTGGAGCAGCCACAGCTTCTCTGGGCAACCTGTGCCAGTGCCTCACCAGCCTCACAGTAAAGAAGTCTGTTTCAAAAGAGTACTCCTGGTGTGAACTATGTGCACTAATGCAAAATAATGGATTGTAATTAAAGTTACCCACTATCCTGCAGTTGTGTGAAGAAGGAAAATAAGAGGAAAAATCCCTTTTCCAAGGAGAAGGGTTGGATTTTTTTGAAAATTAGATTTTAACCTGTGTCCTGTGAAATTCAGACAGTTGGTATGCAAGTTTCCTGTAGAACAACTGGAAAACTTGTGTGATGTCTTCAAATTTTGTTCCGTGTAGTTTCCAGAAGATATGGCAAAGTGGAACAGAAAAAAACCACAGTTGCTTCTATGAGACCACCCAATCCCAAATCACTTGCTTTTTTATATGTTTTTTTGTGTGTTTGTTTATTTTCATCTCTGAAAGACCAAACTGATTTTCTGTGGGAACTTGCTATATGTATCTTCCAAACTGACCGCAGTATAGGGGCTTTTGTGCAAGCTGAAAACTGGAAACGGAAATCAATGTGCTAGATAAAAATATCAAAGATATATGAGG